CTTTTTTTTTTTTTTTTGTTATTTAAAACTGATTATATAGGAAATCTGAAAGCAGACCATCATGAAGTGGACACGGATACACACCTACACTCAAAACAAAAAAGAAAAACACAAACAATTAGACAAGCAAAATAAATAAGATTAGAAGGTTAAACGAGTAATACGGACCTATCTCCGTCCCCGCTACCTCCGCTGCTTCATGCCCTTTTTTTCTTTTTCTGCTTAACCATCTATAGGCAAAACTATTTGTAATTGAAAATTATGAAGTAAGCGCCTACACAAAATTCCAGCTGTGAAAGTTCATTTTTTTTCTTTCTCAAAGGACATAGCACTTTTTCTTGAGAAGTATGCATAAATCCAGTGATTGTTTGGTAAATGGTTAATATATGAATTTCTCCTTTTCTTTTTGTCATTTCTACGTTCTGTGACGTAGATTTTTGATGAGTAACGTCTGAATATCGATTAGAATAGGACAAAAATTCTGGGGGTTTTTCGGGTTCTTCTGTTGAGGTAATGCGTACTGCGCACACACACAAACACGAAAAGATATATCGACGCCGGCGTTTCGGAGAGAAAAAAGTGAAACATAGTGCTACCTGGAAATATGCCAACTGGCTGCTACGTCAAAACTCTTCGTCTACAGTCGGCATCTCTGCATTTACCTTAGTGTCTTGCAGCGCCGTCTGCATATCCAAATCTCTGCTGTTCACATCATCTGTCGGCCTTGTGAAGAGCGATTCCCGCAACCGACATTAGGGTGGTGTGTCCGTCGCCCCTCTTTCTGCTACTTCTTTCTCCCCATATAGATACACGCAGACACATAAAAACACAATATGTGTGTACACAAATCGATGTGAATTCTACGAAACACTGTGCTGAAGTTGCGGACTTTGCCGCCGTTAAAACACGGTGTATATGCATATGTTTGGTAAAAATTTTTTTCTCCCCTTTCTATCCACACAGAAATGGAGCTGAAAAGAAATTGTAGAAAACCACCATCGTCGGCGGTGTAGAAAGTGTTCAAAAAGAAAATCGTTGTGGACATTCACCATTGGTCAGTACAGCCGATTGCACTCCGGTACAAAATTTCTATACACATGAAACTCTTTTCTTGACGGAGAGCAGATTAAGTGCAGGTGTGTCAGGGGACTCAAGTCCTATGCAAAAACGTGGGCTAGAAGAGAAAGTCACTAATGGCGGGTAAGTTTCAGTTTTGAGAAATTATCAGTCATGCGAAATTTTTCAAATAATGAATTTTGACGTCAAAACATAACACAGCCGGGACAGTTTTTTTTACATTTTGCCCTCATTCCCCTGTTTCTTTTTTTCTCCACTTTAAATAATAAATCACTTTCAAGCAATATCTTTTGCCAGGAGGCTTGAGTCTTCCCCCGAAAAAAAAAATATATATATATATATAT